CAAGTATTTCACCGGTGCTTTGAAGTGTGTGAGCTCATGCTTAGAGTGAGGATTCTGTCCTATGACCAAATATTTGATGAACTGTGTAAATTTACCTTCATTCATTGTCTAGGAAGCAATTTGACTGTTGTACTCTGTGCAAGAGGCCAAAAGCACCTTGACTCCAACATGCCAGGTGACCGTTAGTGATAAAATTAGGATCTGAATGAGACAGAAGATGAGACTTAGGATATGTGCTTGTATCTATATTTGTTAATCTCCCTTTTCCCTGCTGTGCAGTAATTCCTCAGTCAGTCAGTGATGCATGCATGCCTTTCAGTTCATTTCCACTTGATTATGTCAGCAAGGTGTTTAGAGGTACAAAGCACAATGTGCTTTTTCTGTGCACAGAATACTATCATCTAAATGGAAATGAGGGTGTTCTGTATTTCTTTGTAGGGAGAAAAGCTGGTCTGTTGTGTAATATTGCTGATGTTTAAGAGGTGAAATATTCCATTCAATTGCACTTCATGATTTTCTGTTAAGTACAAGCGTGAAAAATAGCTCAAAATAGAATTTATAGATCCTGGTGATTTGTCTTTTTGTTGTAGCGAGGTTTTATGAAATATGGAATTGAAACACAATCTAATACTAGCTTTCCCACTTTCTTTTTGTTGTTTTGTGTGAGGACAAATCAATTAAGTCGACTGCTAGGAAGCTAGTTCAAATTAGTGAATGTTTACAGTGAATTTCAGTCAATCTACTTAATTGTACAGAAGAGCTGGTTGATTATATATATGCATTTATATATTAGTTTGAAACAGATTGGTGGAACAGATTGGAGGAACTTCTTCACCCAAAGGGTTGTGAACCTGCCCAGTGAAGTGGTTGAAGCTACCTCGCTGAACGTGTTTAAGGCAAGGCTAGATAAATTTTTGAACAGTAAAGGAATTAAGGGTTATGGTGAGTGGGTGGGTAAGTGGAACTGAGTCTCAAAAAGATCAGCCATGATCTTATTAAAAGGCGGGGCAGGCTCGAGGGGCCAGATGGCCTACTCCTGCTCCTAGTTCTTATGTTCTTATGGTTACACATCTGCAATTCAGTGGGCATCAGAAGATATCTGTTTTGGTGTTCCCCCATGTTGTAGCAAGGCACATGTTGCACAGAGTAGTAGGAAACATTTGCAGAGAGAGTTAGGCAGTTTTTGACCTCAGTGTGTGGTAGTGATACAGCAGAAGAAAAGCTCAACAACTCACATGATAAAGGTTGGGAATCGAGGAGACTGTTCTGGGAGGAAGATCGCTTCCCCAGGGAAGCATGAGGACAGCAAGATCACAGGAATCATTGCTTCACTCTGGTGTTAGGCAGAAACACCATCAGCAGTTTAAGGCCCATTGAAAGCCTTGCTGTAGGGACTGTGAAAAAGTAACAACCCAGCACTTTTTTTGTTGTTTTGTATTAATGCTTTGATGCAACTGAGCTTCCAAGAGCAATTTAGAGGGCAACTGTTAGTGTGGGACTGGGATCTGATACAGACCACATGGGTACGGCCAACAGACTTCCTTCACGAAAGGACATTAATGAACTCTTGACAGTGCCGTCTTGCCCATTTTCAATCTGAAGAAACTGAGACTTGACAGGTAAGCTCTGATTGGTTAGGGTGCTGCCATGGAGATTGCAACTGGGATTGGCGAAATCCACGACCCTTACTTCCGTGATAAAGGTGCAGTATATAGACAAGTTCCTTATACCTACGTAGAATGGGGCCTTGTTTAGTTTGTAAGTTAACTGCTCCTGCTGCATCTCCGTGCTAATCTTGACCTAACCAATCGGTAGCCTCATCTCATGCTTTATAAATTGTTGTTCCTGTGTGCCAGTCCTGATGACTCCAAGACAATAAGTTGTGACATCATTAACATTCTTAAACTTACATTGGGATTTGTACATGTTCTCTGGATTAATCGACGAAGTCTCTGGTTTGTTATTCCACTAAGTTGACGACTGCATAAATATTGGAGTGACAAACTATTTAAACTAATTGGGTAGACACTTGAAATATAAAATCAACCAGCATTCATGAGTAGTGAAGGGAGGAAAGGATGATATTCTAAAAGAAAACAAATTGACAAGTCCGATACGGAATTAAGGACCAAAATCAAGTGGTTTATCCATAAATGAGAAAGCTCTGAATTAAAGGTGAGAGATAGTTTAGATGAGAAAATCTAAAGTTGTCATATATGTATTATTAAATGAATTGCAGTGTCCAGAAATTGAGAAACAAAATAGGGAAATGGAAGCACTCATTCTACAGGAAGACCAATTTTGAATGGCATCAACCTAACTGCAAACACGACTAGAATGAAAGATGAGCATATTTTGTTGAAGAAATAAATGAAATGTAATATTTTTACTACCAAATAACCTCAAACTTTTCCACATTCTTCCATCTGTTGTCTTGTCTGCCCACTTTGCTTCTTTGCAGCCTTTGTGTCCTTCTCGCAGCTTTATATTCCTACCAAACTTTGTGTGGTTGACAAACTTAAATATGTTACTCTCTGTCTCTATCTAAGCCATTTGTGAATAGTTGCGGGCCCAACACTGTTCCTTGCGGTCCAACGCTGCTTTCAGCCTGCCAAATTGAAGATGCCCTAGTTATCCATACTCTGTGCCTTCTGACAGCTAACCAATCCTCCATCTGAGTGAATGTATTCAGGTGTGAAACCTGAATAGGATAGGATAGAGTAAAACTACTCGAAATTAAACAAGGAACGTCAGATGCTGGAAAAATGCGAGGAAAACTGAGAATGTTGGAGAAATTCAGTGGGTCTGGCAGTGTTCTTCAAGATCAAAGGTGTGGCCATAGCTAACTGTGTGTGTCCCAACTATTTCTGTTTCTTTGTGGCATATGTGGAACACCGGTGGTTCAGTGGTTAGCACTGCTGCCTCTCAACGCCAATGACCTGGGTTTGATTCCACCCTCAGGTGACTGTCCGTGTAATATTGCACATTCTCCCTGTGTGTGTGTGTGTGTGTGTGTGTGTGTGTGGGTTTCCGCCAGGTGCTCCAGTTTCCTCCCACAGTCCAAAAATGTGCACATTAGATGGATTGGCCACGCTAAATTACCCATAGTGTTCAGGGATGTGTAGGTTAGGTGCATTAGCCACAGGAAATGCAGGGTTACAGGGATAGGGTAGGGTAGGGGAATGGATCTAGGTGGGATGCTCTTCAGAGGGTAGGTGTGGACTTGTTGGGCCAAATGGCCTGTTTCCACGCTGTAAGTATTCTATTCTATTCTTGTTTTAATCCTACTTGGACCCAACCCACATCTCTTTCTCCAGTATGTGGATGACATCCGTCTCTTGTTCAAAATTGGAAAATTTATCAGTTTTGCTTCTAATTTTCACCCTCTTATCACCTTTTCACCTGGCTCCTCTCTGACACCTCCCTTCCCTTCATCGACATCAGTTGCCATTTCTGGGTTAGGCTAGCCACTGATAACCACTTCAAGCCCACTGACTCCCACAGTTAACTGGACTGTACATCCTCGCAGTCTCTTTTCTGACTCCACTCTATTCGCCAAGTTTCTATGTCTCCATTGCATCTGTTCTGATGCTCCCACCTTCTACAAGGTGGTGTCAGAAATGTCTGTTTTTTTCCATATCTGAGGATTCCCCGCTTCCATGGTTGACAGGGCCCTTAGCCGACCCATTTTCCACACTTCTTTTCCTTCCCATAATACCAATAAATCCTCTGTCCTCCCTTTCTACCCTACTAACATCCACATTCAAAGGATCATAAACCGCCACCTCCAGCGGGATACCACCACCAGATACACATTCCCCTCCCCTCCCTTGTCAACATTTTACTGTGACTCTTAGCTCTGGGACACCCTGGTCCACTCCTCCTCCTCCTTCCAGCACTTCCTGACACCCTCACAGACCTGCCTGTTTACTTCCTCCCTCCTCTCTATCCAGGACTCCAGACACACCTTCCAGATGGATCAGCAATTTAACTATAATTCATCTAATCTAGTCCATTGTATTTGCTGCTTATGAAATAGTCTCCTCTGGGTGATTGCTTTGCAGATTGTAAAAATGACCTTGAGCTTACAGTTGCCTGTCACCACCATGTTCCCTGGCCAACATTTCTCTCTTGGGCCTGCTGCAGTGCTCCAGCAAGGCTTAATGCAAGCTGCAAGAACAGTATCTCCTTTTCTTTTTGGAGACCCTGCAGACCCTGCAATAATTTTAGAATCTGAGCAACACCTTCTATGTCCTTTACCCACCCCCACATCTCAGACCCTGTCATTACATGGGCTGTTTTCGGCACTCATTTTCATCTACTTATGGTCCCCATTATCAGTTTTTCTTTCTTCCTGGCGCATTAACATCCATTCCTTTGTCTGCCTAACTCTCGTTCTCCCTCTCTGTGGGTTCCATCTGCACTTATTCGCTCACCACTCCCTCCCTAAACCAACCCCTGCCCCACACAACTTCGCCTAGCCACTATCAGATCTAAAGAAGGGTCACCAGACTCGAAACATCAAATTTTCTTTCTACAGATTCTCTGTTTCTCTGTTTACTCAAGGTAAGTTGGGGGTGGGGTCCAGAACAAAGGAGTAATAACCTTAAGAATTAAGCCATTCATGGGTAATGGGGAAGGCCTATTGAATGTTGCTCAAATCTGTTGAGGCTGTGGGTCACCTGAAACTTTTAATGCTGTGATGATTTCTGTTTGGCAAAGATTATGGAACCAAATCAGGTAAATGGAGTTAAGGTACAAATCATCCACGATCTAACTGAATGGTGAAACAGACTTGAGGGCCTGAACAGATCTAGGCTCTCGTGTTTGTAATTGAAAAGACGAGACTTGTGTGCTTTTCAGAACTTGTGATTGGGTTGTTTCATTGACATGAAGAGACAAATTGTGCTACTTGTAAATTTTTGCTGTGCATTGATTAATTTGGCTTTGCTGTTTATTTGTGAATGGAATCTCACTACAAAATTACCTCTTTTCTGCAGATTGCGTCAAGATCGCTGCCTGTTGTACAATCAGACGAGCGACTCCAGCCTCTGCTGAACCACCTCAGGTAATAATTCCTCCTCTCGCAGTTTAAATGCAGTTGTAAACCAAACATAATCCTACATTGATGAGGATCTCATCACTATGATGTGCTGCATACAAGATCTAGGCTATAATGCCACAGTTGAATGCGTTGCCTGCAAGATTACAGTACTTTGCTTCAGTATATGTTTTTATTAACATAAACATAATATTTATCAGATGTTTCAACAGGAATGCACACTCAGAAGAACATTTGTTTGACTAACAAGATTGCAGTCACTTTAAAATGGCACAAGCTGTCTTGCACCAAGTTTATTATTGTCGTTGGTTATAGTGCATTGAATACAGTGTATCATATGGAAAATTTTAAATTATGGAAGAAACATTGCTTTGCTTTTATGATCACTTCTGAGGTCTGTCGTAACTGTCATATGGTATAGCAGAAAGCAATGCTGGTTATTGTATTAATAAGCTCACTTGTTCAATGTAGCATTTCAAGCTCCAGATTTAGGTGTTGCTGAGCTAGCTGATTGGTTGCACAACATGAAAGATATTGAGTTGCTACCTTGATTTTACATTGACCCATGGTCAGAAATTTAGAAGCATGTTGATCAAAAAAGGGAAATTATACAGGTATGTTTTCATTTCAATTGAGGATGTTGTTACGGCGAAAATGCACAGCAGTCCCTGCTGCTCTTTTGACTGCCGGCTATAACCTTCATCTGCACCTCTTGCAGTTAGTGGGAGGAAATCAGTGTTACAACCTTAAGTGACCAAGATGTCTATCAGTTCAGTTGCTTCTGGGCACCACCCCCCACCCTTGCTCTCATCGTGTATCTTTCATTAGTTTCTTGTGGATCTCCCCTCTTATCCTGTCGCGACTTTTTGATTATATGTCACAACTCCTGTGCTCTCCGCTAACCTGATCACCTAAGCCTCCCCTCTCTTTTAAACTTGCCAGTATCATCCAGCACCTCAAGTAAACTGTCTGTGGTCCCTGTATCCTTGCAAACTTGCACTCCATCTCCAACTCACACTCCATCTCCAATTCATATTCGTTTCCTAAGCTTTTGATTATGTTGCTGCCAGATCCATGCTCATCTTTGCCTTACCTCCAAGTATACTGTGTCTCTGTGCTCTCATTTCCACCTCTGCCACAATGCTGAAATGGGCTGAATCAAAGGTGTGAATGACATCTTAGGTAAGCAATGATGTATTGTTGCTTCTAGACCTGCCTGCAGCTTTGGACATAGCTCACCACGGTATCTCCACCAACTTCCCCCTCCTGATAGCCCCTGGCTCTCATCTAAATGTTGTTTTTTCTGTATCATATACTGAAGACAGGTTCCACATGTAGGTTGATAACATCCAACCAGGTACCAACATTATCTCTCCAAACCTGTTGCCGGCAACCCCGTTTCATAGTCATTCTTGCTCCAGCCTCCGCCATTTTGTGAGACTGCCTGTTCACTTCTAATCAATCACCGTTTCCTTGAATTAGCTATTTGGAAGTCCAAAGCCATTGTCCTTGACACTGCCTCAAACTCTCGTAATGCTGTTTTTATCCATCCAAGGCTGACCAGCCTCTGTGTAACATCAGCATCCTAACTAACCCAGAGCTGAGTTGATTCCTCCATCACCCTACCCATCAACAGGAGTGAGTACCTCCACCTTGTTTATTGCTGTGCCTTTGTTTAACTATTGCTGCATTCTACATTGCTGCTGTTCTTCCTTTTTCAATTAAGTTTTCTCCAGTGTTCTGCTAGTGTGCTAGTACTAATTGTGATAACCAAGTTAGGTTTGCTACTAAATGATTTTTCCAAAATAAGATCCACGTATTTGCTTTAACCAGCTGAACCAAACAATAATCTTGCATTATTTCAACAAATCTTTCAGCTGCATTTTCCACCACATTAGACAGTAAACCTGTAGTACCGAATTCACGGAAAATTGGACTGCCTGTACAGAGATCTTGTGTTTCAGAGGCTTTTATAAAATGTGTTTCCATAGTAACTCCTTGTATTCCAGTGCCTGACCTGAAGAATCTGTAAATTTATCAATAACTAATAGCTCAACTGCCTGAGAAAGTGGAAAAAAAATGACAAAGCTGCTACCCAGCTGCAGTGTCACATCCTTTATCAGTGCTTCAGAGCTTTTTTCAGGCATGCTGACCAGCATTGTGACGTACTGCTGTAAAGCTTCCACTTTGAAAATGGTAGAATGTATTGTTGGTGCTTACATTTTGTAAACTACGATGTTATTCTATGTGTGGTTGTGGAGTGCCTATTGAATATAGTCTTGAAGTATTAGACTGAACAAGTTGGATGGTGCTCTGTTTGCTTAGCCATACATGCTGTGCCTGTTACCTTAGGTACACAGAAAAGCAATTTACATTGAATGCCAAATACAAAACAGGCCATTCAGCCAATTAGTCTGTGCCAATAATTATCCTCAATGCAACCCCCTCCCTCCCCTGATCTCTCACTCTTGGCATAATTTGTTACTTTCTCCTCTGTGGGCTTATCTAGCTTCCACTTCATATGCCTTTCACTTAACTATTCCTTGTTCCCAATCTTCATAACTCTCTGGCAAAGACATTTCTCCTGAATTATCTGCTGAATTTATTGGTGATTGAATTTATTAGTGACTGCCTTATATTTATGACCCTACAATTTGATTTCCCTCACAAGCAGCAACATCTCTATATGTTTCATACCAAATCTCTTCCTAGTCTTAAATTTACCTTCCTTGTTGTCATGTTGGGATCTGTGCTTCAGCTTCTTCATATTGGTATTTTTTCCATGTACTAACATAGATCACTTCCTGCTTCATTATGCTCTATTTACATTTTAAATGAAAAATGCATTGATTTTTGAATTGAAAAGCAAAACATTCTCTTAATTTTGCATTACTATCTAGTGTTTCTTCATTTTGGCCATTTAATATTTGTAGTTCAGATGGAATTTACACCCCTTAAGAATTTACTGCTTGTTTGCATGATTGATGTAGGTCATAGTATTGTTATTACAGACCTCATCAACAATCTGATGGGAGATGGAGTGGTGTTACTCCCAAGGTAAGACTTCTAAACGTATCTGTCTCCCTAAAGAGATGTTAACGAAATCAATGCAACAAGACTTGAAAGCAAGATAGCAGGCAAACTGTTCAGTTTTAGAACGGCAATGCTTGCAAGGACGAAAAATATTCTCTTCCTAAACCAGATTCTCATATTTGTCCTGATGGAAAAGGAAGCCTTGCATTTATATAGCCTCCTTTGGCAACCTTGGTTTCCTAAAGTGTTTTACAGCCAATGAGGTACTTTTTGAGATATAGTCAGCATTGTACTGTAGAAAACGCAGCTAATTTTCAGCGACCATGTTTCCATAAACAGTAATGTAGCAACAATCAGATAATCTGTGTTTTTTTTCAATGATGTTGGCTTAGGGATAAGTATTGGCCAAATGCTGGGACAAATTCCACCACCCCCACACCACCTACTCATTATAGTCTCATGGCATCTTTTGCATCAACCTGGGAGGACAGATGGGGTCCTATTTTCATGTTTACTTTAACTCAGTCCCTCGGTGCTGCACTAGGAAAGTCAGCTTGGATATGAAAGTTCAATGAAAATTCAAGAGGAAGTCTAGTAAGTAAATTGAAGCTGGGATCAATGTTCACTTTCAGTTTATGAACAAAACTCTAGCTAAATTTGCTAGATGGAAGAATGATGTAGGTATATAAATCAGGGAAGTGGACTGTGATATCCTTGAACAAATTAGCATTGAGAGAGAAGCAAAGTTAGCAGTTTTAGCAAACTTAAAATTAGATGAATCCCTGGGCCCAGATAACATATCCCAGGCTGCTATAGGAGGCAAGGAAGGAGATTGCAGGGGCTCTGAAATTAATTTTCAAATCTTCTCTGCATACAGGAGAGGTGCTAGAGGATTGGAGGATAGTCAATATGGCTCCATTGTTCAAGAAGGGTGATAAGGATAAACAGGGAACAAAAATAACAGATGCATGGGGACTTCAGTGTCTGCAAGTTTCCCTCCCAACTGCATGCCATCCTGACTTGGAGCTACATCAGCATTTCTTCACATTCACTGGGTCGAAATCCTGGAACTCCCTCCCTAAAAGCACTGTAGGTGGAGCCACCCTTCAAGGACTGTAGGAGTTCAAGAAGCAGCTCACCACCACCTTGGAGATTGGTAATAAATGTTGGCCTAGCCAGCAAAGACCCCATCCCATGAACAAATAATGAAAAAAATTAGCCCATGAATGTTTTGTTTTGGGACACCAATGCTCAAGTGTTTCAGCAAGTCAAGTTCTATCCTGTTCTTCCACCACCCAACCCCTCCCCCCACCTTCAATATTAATTTTGAGCTGAGTGTTGTTTATATTCTAGCCACATTCTAGAACTATTCCATGCTCAGTTTTTTTTTTGACGTGTTTGAAAATCTCTGGCATTTATTTCAGGAAGAGAATACCTTTATGGAATATACAGAAATTTATAAACACCAAAAGATATGTAGAACAGAGCTTAAAATTATCTTTGGAGAAAATTGTTAACCTTTAAGAGATAAAACAGGGTAGTATTTTAAATAATATGTTTTTATTTCTGAGGTAACTGAATTATTTTCTTCCATAATTGGAAGAATTCTGCCCAGCTTGGAAGGAAGATCTAAGTTGTTATGTGTTTCCCTTTGAGGGTTGCTAATCCCCCAGTTCTTTAACGCAAGTTCTATTTGCAATGTTTATACTACGTGTTCTCTGACGACCTTTTATCTGAGATGTATACCATCTTGGCCTGGTGACTTGGTCAACTTCGAGTGTAACTTGATAATTTCCCTTCAAATATTTATCACCAGTTGTGGTCTTCCAAGTCCTCCTTAGTGGCTCTTATAATGTGCACTTTCAACTTCCTCTAGGTGCTGGCTCGGTAAGGTTAGTATAGATTTCTTTCCGACTCCTGCACTTGAATGGAAAATTTCAGCTGATACTACATTGAAAAGCAGATAAATCTGC